TGCCCTTCCCTGAAAAAATGTCTTTTTTTCTCTTTGAAAATCTTGTTCGGCACATATTTAAAAATTTTGCTTCTCTAGAAAGAGTCTGGTGTTACCCCACAAACAGGCAGATCAGCTATCTTACATACAATCTGTAGATATCTGAAATCTGTTTCCACAGATATCTCAGTGACTGTAATTTCAGCATGCTTGGAACTCAACAGCAAGTTGAAGACAAGTATGCCATCTGTCCTGAACTTCTACAGTAAGTTGAATGCGTCCCAGACACATCAGATTGCTGTTATGAGCTAGCCAGAATGTGCACACCTTTTGACATCTGTACAGAAAGCAACAGCCCTGACTTTGCGCAATAAAGTTGTTTGGTCTAGTTGGTGGCTTGTGAATCACGTGTAGTATTTTCTATGTAGGTTGCTCCAAAAGTAATGCCTCTTATTTCTTTCCATGGAGACTGCAACAGATGAAATAGTACAATAAAACTATTTGATATAGCAAAGTCTGAGCTACAAAACACTGTTTTTCATCATGTTCATTTTTGACAATGATGAACAAGGGTGCGCATGCCACATTCATAAAAATCTGCATGGTTGCTTAGAATATGGCTTATCTGCCGTATTTCTGTAGCCACTGCTGAAATGCACCACCTCACTGTGCTAACATCTGCTGTTTAGTCTCCATTAGTGTTCTGCAAGCATCAATGAATGTCAATGGGTGCAACTTTTTCTGCATGGAGGAATTCAATTACACACCTTCATATATGCTTGCACGTTAGTCTCCATTCTGTCAGATTACTCTTCTGCTGCCATCTGCCACATGACAACAAAATGTAACAGAATATTGTTGGGAGGATTCAATCTCTAATGCCATGCACACTGTCACCATAATACAGTAAAAGGCATTACTTTTAGAGAAGCCTTCCTATTTGTTCTTCTGCCTTTGCCCTTGAAGAGTCATGATCAGCTGATTAAGTGATGATACTACCCAGCCAGTTGAATGCTGTGCTGCTCCTGCTGTGATTCTGCCCTTGCTAGTAGTGGCTGGTAGGAGCCTGGGGTGGGGACAAAGCAATTCAGACCGCTGGGTGAGTGCTTTCCTAAATCTTCACTGTCAGTTCTTTGGCTGCCTAGGATAGCACAAGGAACGTACTCGAGTTATTTCACTTGTTGGATGTACTAGTGCATTTGACAGTGCGTTTGCTCAGAGACTAATTTTTATCCTGCTAATCTGAATCACATTTAGTCCAACAAGTTCAGCAAGTTAATTTATTCCCAGAATATACAGGGAGAACTGGCCTTTCCTAATTGATGAAGTATGAGAAGATTAATTCACTTTAAATCATAGTTAATATTATTGCCTTGTATTTTTGAGGCATGGAATATACTGGACAGAGCAAAGCAGACCTTCCTTTGCTCATCTTCATGCCTGGTACAGTCTGGAAAAGTCTGGAAAGATGTGAGTAGGTACATGACAGGTTGTGACATGCAACAAATATTTTTAAGAGAAAGGAACACTGAAAATGAAGAGAAAGAAATAATCCTTTTGCCAAAGAATCAGTACCATTTCCAGTCCTGCTGATGAAGTTCATAAGAATCCAGGAATGGAAGCTGCAGAATTTTTAAACATTTAGCTAAAAGCAGTAGTTCCTTTGGCCATTAAATATTCCATTGTGAGGAGTAAGGTTTTGTCCTGGTGCAACTGTGGGAAGTGTAACTGCATCCGTTAGAGATTTACTGGACTGTCTAGTTGATATTTAGAAGTTAAATCAGCTATTGCTGATAGTAGTGGTTTCTTCTTTCTCTGTTAAAGGAGGTCATCATCTCCATAGCAAGGAAGGCTAACAGATTGGAATTCCACTCCTGAGTTGCTCCAGTTCTTTGGATTTGTATTCATACACATAATTGGCATTTTTAGTTTACATAAACCAAGTTGAAAGTAATTCAGGAGCAGATAACGTGTATGTCAAATCACCTCTCATACAAAGGCAGTAGCTTCCATGAGAAGATGGGAACCAGTGTCTGCAAGCTGTAACTGGAAGGCCAGCAGTATGTGTCTTCAGATGTTGCAGCTCTGTTCTTCTGCAAATATGCTGCTTCCATCCTTCCCTGGAGTTGTTGGAATTCCATTTATAGGTCCATTTGTTTTGTTTATTGTTTCCAAGGGAAATCTGTACAATGCTGTGAAGGACTCCTAGTCTTGTTCTTCTTTAGAAAGGGGAAGGAATTAATTTTTATTCAGGCAGCTTGTGTATAGGGCAAATAAGTAATACAACTGACTATCCTGTACATTGCAATAACTCAATAGAAACATAAACCAGAATGAAGAGAACAGTGCCACACTCTAATATATGCATATTTGTTGCACAAATGAGATAGCTGAATAAATACAGTGTGGAAAATTGGATAGGAAGTTCTTCAGCATAAACTTAACAATTCAGTAGGCAATTTAAATTATGATCAAGCTTGTAATGCCTATGCCTCATTCCAGTTCACACCTTTTTACAAGGTAAAAGCTAGTCTGGATTTATCCACATATACTGCTCAAGCTTAGACAAACCATGGGAGCATAACACTGCCTTACAATCTTTCTGGTGACCACTGACAATGTAAAAGGTTCCAGTCTTCCTCCAGCCATTGTTTCAAAATATAAAATGGATTTAATGGATGGATCACTTGCTGGAAAAGGAATTGGCTCCATGGTCACACTCAGAATGTTGTAGTTGACAGCTCAATGTCCAAGCGAAGACCAGTGAGGAGTGGCATTCCTCAGGATTTGATGCTGGGACCGGTGAGCCCGTGCCAACCTCATGAAGTTCAACAAGGTCAAGTGCAAGATTCTACATCTGGATTGGGGCAATCTCAAGCACAGATATGGGTTGGGTGGATAATGGCTTGAAAGCAGCTCTGAGAAGATGGGTTTGGAGGTGTCGGTTGATGAATGATTCAGCGTGAGTTGGCAATGTGTGCTTGCAGCCCAGAATGCCAACCATATCCTGGGTTGCATCAAGAGAAGTGTGACCAGCCAGTTGAGGGAGGTGATTCTGCCTCTCTACTCTGTTCCTGTGAGACTCCATCTGGAGTACTGCATCCAGTTCTGGGGCCTGAAACATAAGGACATCAAGCTGTTGGAGTGGGTCCAGAGGAGGGCTTGAGTACCTCTCGTACAAGGACAGGCTAAGAGAGCTGGGGTTCTTCAGCCTAAATGAGAAGGATTGGGGGATCCTTTTAGTGGCCTTCCAGTGCCTGAAGGGAGTCTATAGAAAAGTTGGGGAGAGATTTTTTATAAGGCCATGTAAAAAGGGAAAATGATTTTAAACTGGAAGAGGGTAGGCTTAGACTAGATATTAGGAAGAAATTCTTTGCTGTGAGGATGGTGAGACACTGGAATAGGTTGCCAGCAAGGTTATGGATGCTCCCTCTCTGGAAGCATTCAGGGCCAAGCTGAATGAAACTTTGAGCACTCTGGTCTAGTGGGAGGTGCCCCTGCCTATAGCAAGAGGGTTGGAACTGGATGATCTTAAACATCCCTTCCAACCTAAACCATTTTATGATTCTATGGTTCTATGGGTTCCTCAGTGAGTTTTGTAATACAGCTACACAAAAGTTTGTCCCAGTGCAAGAGGAACAAGAGGGCATTGAGACTACTCTGTGCTGGTGAAAGGACCAGCCTGATAATCATCAAAATATACCTATGAGATACAGTTTTCCAAGATCCATCCTGAGTATGGGTTGCCATCAACATAGGCACTCTTTGTGCTCTCACCTTCTGTGTATGTGTTCTCACATCTTCTAACCCTTGTAAGGATCAAAATGGGCTTTCTTGTCTTACTGGAAACTACCTTATGGAAACTAGAACAAAATTTAAAAACTCTTTTGGCTGCAATTAGCTTTCTCCTTTAGTCACAGAGCTGTACAATTGCTAATGGTAGCACAAGGGTAGCAGCAGGCTTATGTGGGTACAGATCGGGGGAGAAGGCTGGATTGGCACTTTCTATCAGCAGCAGAGGGGTAGACTGACTAACATCTCTTGTGAAATTGCCACCTCAGAGGAATAAGTTAACAGTACTGTCTCATGGTAAGCAAGTTCATGATGAAGAACAGAATAGGCTGAAATAGCCTATGGGAAATGATAATTACTTTTCTGCTGAAGTAAGTTAGCAGCGAGGCTCACAGAGTACAGAGAAGCTATACTCTCCTAGTTTTGAAAGGGAGGAAGCCAAGTTGCACATTTGTACACGCCCTTTGTTTTCAGAGCGACTATCACTTCTTTTTTCATAGTTGAATGCCCCCTGGTGGAAACTTCAAAGAACCAGATTTTAAGGAGCTAGTTCCCAACACAAGACTTCTGTTTGCCAAACTTTGACACAGACATTTGAAACTGGCTGCTAATGAAGATGGGTTTCTATTCAGGTGGAAATAGACTGGATCCATGAAGAAAGTACATTCTTTATGTTGCACCTTATTTACTTACATTATTCATATCATTGTATAAATAACACCTGAGGCTAATGTGTGTGCACTCACATATTCCTTCTCCCTATTCTGTATCTTTCTATGCATCTTCAGAGTGGAAGAGCTTTATTACAGTTACTGCACCCTTATTTTTCTTCCTAAGTGAGGCACTCCAGTCTATCCTGTTGCATTGCTTTGACTTTACAATGCCCTCTTATTTGCTCTCCACATGCTTTGTTTACCTTCACGTTGTCCTGGCACTGACCAAGTGATAAATATCAGCTAAGGTAAGAGACTGTGTTGTACATTTTTAATGTTCAATTTCCCCCCAAATATATGCAAATTTCCACCAACATTTTCTGAAGTGCAAACTAGATTTTAATACATACTCTTCAGATTTCTACTGCTATCTTGATGCATATCAATATATTTTGGATCTTTGGAAACTTCTGGCTAAAGAAGACTACTTTAGTTCATGGCAAAAAAAGCCACCACACGGGTACTTGATAACCATCTGTTTTTTGTTCCTTTTTTTTTTTTTTTTTTTTTTGACAGGCTGATTTGAACACCAATATTGAAGATGAATCCAGATCTTTCTATGGTGTTTCCAGCCAATATGAGAGCCCAGAAAACATGGTCATTACCTGTTCCACTAAAGTGTGTTCCTTTGGAAAGCAGGTAGTGGAGAAAGTGGAGGTAAGGAGCAGGCGCCTTTGTACAAGGTTCTCTCTGACTGCTATTCTATTATTTCAAGTATCTGTATGCTGAATATATCTAAAGGTAAATATAGCCCATACTTCTCACCAGGGAGATGGATGCCATAGATTATTATTTCTGAGACATGAAGTTATAAAATTGCTTCAGCCTCCAGCATGGCATTTTTCAGGACTCAATGGAAGATATGATAGTATTTGATGTTTTTTCCTTAAATCTCAGTTTCTGAAGTGTTGGTGATTTTCTGGACTTCTTGTGGAGCAAAGAAAAGCTAGGAAATCTGGATTTACTTAGTCCCGAAAGGTGAAAATTGATCATCTATAGACTATAGTCTGTGACTATAGACTGTGACCATTTATAGAATATGGAGTTGTGATTTTATGAGGCTTGTTTTAGTGCTTGCATATTTGCAGTTCTAGTAGCATAATTATATGTATATGTGGCATTGAAGAAATTCTTTCTAATGCTACGTTCAGCTGCTGAGACCTGCTTTGACTTGCTTTGTCCTGTTGTTTTTTTCAAGGAGCTTTTAGATGCAGAGGGAGCATCTGTGTGCAGAACTCCACATATTCTGTTGTCAGCAGTCAGGTCAAGCTACATTATTTCCCAAAAAGCATCTCCAGTCATATGAGAAATGTATCTGGAATCTGGCTATGGATTTGCATATGATGGGACAATGTAGATCAAGAAAAGCTATCATAGTGCATGAGAAAAGAGGTCAAGCTGTTGTGGTGAAAGGAGAGAAAGGAGAGAAAGGGCATTTAAAAATCATGATACAAACCAACATCAGTTTCTATTCAAAGGAAGATGAAATATTTAGAAGCTAAGATGTGAATGTTAACAAAAAAATCCCTCTGTGTAACATTGGCCAAACATTCTCCTAAAGGATAGCAAAGATGCTGTATTCTCTCTCAGAGGTGCAAAAGGCCTTAGTCCTTTCCAGGCATGACGCATCCTGAGCATAGTTACCACTATCACTAGGAGCCTCCTGGTCTTGCTGAAGCAGCAGTTTTTGACTTCTCCAATTTATTCACACTTAATTTTTTTTTCTAGCAGAGATGCATACCATATCATAGCTGACAAGTGGCCTGCTCCTCTAAGTTTCCTTTCATAGTTTCTTGGCAGTTTGCTACTCATAAGCTGGTATTTCTGTTCTCAAGAGAAAAGAAAACAAGCTGAAAAAATTGTTGGGCTCAGGAAGACTGAGGTCTTCTCTTGTACAGAGAACTGTAGACAAATCAGATTAATCTACAACTGTAGATTGATCAGCTCATTATTGTTAGTAAAATGACTTGAAAAAGTCATAATTTTTCTGTTTGGAGTTTGTTTATATGACTGTTACTGATGTGATAGCATTAACCTTGTAAGTCCCTTTTCTGTTCTAAATTGCAGACAGAGTATGCACACTACGAAAATGGACACTATTCCTATCGCATTCATCGTTCTCCTCTCTGTGAATACATGATAAATTTCATTCATAAACTCAAGCACCTTCCTGAGAAGTATATGATGAACAGTGTGCTGGAGAACTTTACTATCTTACAGGTGGGACTTAGAACTGTTTTCCTTGGAACTTGGAAACATGTAAGCCTCATGCAAGAGTTCTCTCTTGTGAGTCTAAGCAGATTTCCTTTTTCAGCTCAGCATCAAGCTGTACTTGATATTTCTCAAGTGTTGTACTATACCTCAAGACAGGAACATGGGAGATCTTAGCTCATGTAGAGAAACAGCAGACCTCCAGTAAGAGAGAGAAAAAAAGAAAGATAAAGGGAAAATTAATAAGCCAGAGAGATATGGGAAGGAAAAGGATGCAGTGGTCATAGCGAAGGAAGTGCTCATTCCACTACTGGATGTGTATGTTTATTCTTTCTGTGTGTTGGTTCTTTACACAAGGTTAAAAATAAAAAAAAAGGAAAGCAAAAACACTGTTAAGTGGCCTTAAAATTTTGTCACAGTGAGAGTTCTTCACTCATATCAGCTGGAATTAAAATGCATGTTTCCTCAAAAATGTCCAGAATCTGAAAAGAATACTGAGGGAAGTAAAAGGAAGAGGCATGTTAGAGAAAACCTTCATGAATCAATCACTGCAACTCCTTGGTAGGGCAGTACTGCAAGGCTGCCATAACTAGATTGCATCAGTGTCTATGTTATACTATTAGTCTTTCCAGGCTCAGATGCAGCCAAATTTGGGAAGAGGGCAAAGTCATCTTAAAAAATGGATTCTCCTAGTTGACCATGAGTTTTAACCTCAGCAAGATGCGTTGCAGATCTTTACCAAAAAGAACCTGAGGCTGGGTGAGCGGAGTTGATTCTGGAGACTGTATCAAAGAAGGGAAATAGAGTAGTGTTCATCCCATCCTCTGAAGATGTTTGTAGGACTTCAGGCAACTCATTACTCTGTACTGTGGCAAAGGAATCTCAGCTATAATACAAGCTTAATGATGTCCTTATATCTCGCAGAGTATGAGGCAAAAAGGCTTTACTCTTCTATGTTTCTATTAAGCTCTTCAGCATGTAGAATTAAAAAGGAGTATAAAGGCATAAAGGATTTGTTTTTGTTTTTGTTTTTAGATGAGCAGAAGTATGGTTTGAGCAGGGAAAGTTTGAAAATGTGTGTGAATGCAGAGAAATGCTGTAACTGCTTTCTGCCTGCATCTTTCCTCAGTCACACCAAAGACTGGTGTAAAGTTAGCCCCTCCGGGGCAGTGAATAATCTCATGTGCTTTCTTTATCTCCTGTCACAGAGAGATGTATCTAATATGGTTGCTAGCTCAGTGTTTTATATACTGTGTTTGTAGTCTTGCAATCCTGAGCAATGGGCTGGAAATTTTACACATTGACTGGGGAGCTGAAATCTTGATTTGCAAATTGTTTTGTATCAAGCCTTCCAAGATTTCAGAGCACAGTATTACCAAAAGTCCCTGATGTCTCGCCATAACTCAGAAATACCTGCAGAAAGAAGAAGGCTTAGTTTAATTGCAAAAAAAGTCATGAAGTAAGAAAAGAAAACAATAGGCCAAAATGAAGGAAACAGTTATTCATGAGTTTGAGAAGCTCTTTTCCTTCTATTTTTACAAGAATGGTCGGGCTTTGGTACAGAGCAAGCCTCCAGCTATGCTTTTCTTCTGCAATTAAGTTGGTACTACAGCTGAAGAAAAAGTCTTTTCCAACAGGAGAGAACTGCATGAAGCTTTAGCCAGGCACAAACCCAGATTACAAGAATGTGTAAAAATGTGTGGTGACAGAGAGAGGAAAGCTCAGCTAAGAGCTCTGGGTACAGTATTTTGTTTGGATGGAATGGGAGATGTAAAAGTTTCAAATGTGTCAGTCTCCTGTAAAATGAGATACAATCTAATTCTCATTATCTATGTTTACCTCTAATAAGCAGGATCAGATGATGGGAAAGAACTGGTCATGGCTGTGGTATACCAATGCAGGAACAGGAATGGGTGTGTCACAGAAGGTGGCCACTCTAAACACAACAAGCAGAGCAAAAACTTTTTTCTTTTTCTTTTTTTTTTTTTTTGGAAATCCCTTCTCTCTGCTGAAATCTCTAACATCAGGGAGCTGGGGAATAGCAGATTTGCGTATTGGTTGGTCACTGCTTGGTGACAACTTTCTTTCATCCTCAGTAGATTCTGCTCATCTCCCTATCTTTTCATTGCATTGTAGCCCCAGCATTGTAGAAGTGCTTTGCTTGGTTGTGTGAGCACATAGATTGGGAGATGTGATGATTGAGCTATGTGTGATTCCTGTGGAGAATTCTGTTCTTTTCTTACTACTGATTTTGCTCTCTGTGTTAAAATGAGCAAGCAGTGTAATAGCAGATATGATCTCAGCTTTTTCTCCTTTTCTGTCTAGGTTGTGACAAACAGGGACACACAGGAGACCTTGCTGTGCATAGCATATGTTTTTGAGGTGTCAGCTAGTGACCATGGTGCCCAGCATCACATCTACCGACTGGTGAAGGACTAGAGACTATCTGCGCTGAGTCATCCATGAGATGCATGTCTGAGGAAAAAGTCTGTGCTTGAAAATCCCTTGTCTCTTTTCACCAAATTGAAAAATAAACTGCAGATACTGTGTATTTTCAGAAAAGCACCTCCAATCTATTTTATGATTCACAGTGGCAAATAAGTATGTATCTCCAGGTTTGTGCAAATGGTGGAAAGGCTTAGAGTCAAAGAAGCAGTCAAATAATCGCTTAAGAGTTTCACTTAAACAGCATTCTCTGGAATGTATTCTTCACATTCTGCAATCCAGCCCTTAAAGCACACATCAGATGTGATTGTAGACATAGAAGGAGTGATATACATACAGTAATGGCAGTGGTGGCAGCATTCACAAGCTGGACCACAAACATACAGCTTGGCTAGGTGTATGCTATGTCTGATCACAGTGTGTGCACTCACATACATTCCTCTGGAGGTCAACACACACACAGGCATGCTTACATTTTGATAGGTTGCACTGAAAGTAATGCTTCCTATTTTTTCCATGGAAACTACAACATGCACAGTAATACTTCCCGACAGAGCACACTCTCAGCTACAAAACACAGAACATGATGAAATTCACCTTGGAGTATTGAGAGAAGTGGTAGCTGAAGTTTGCTAAGTCACAGTCCATTGTATTTGAAAAGCATTGGTGAAGTGAAGTCCCCAGTGACTGGAAAAGCGGAAATATAACATTTGTTTTTAGAAAGAGTTAAAAAGGAAAATGCAGGAATTAACTACCAGTTAGCCTCACCTTGGTGCCTGATAAAACTACGGAACAGATTCCCCTGAAAACTATGTGAGGGTATATGTAAAATGTTTTAGTAGCCTGAGGGGAGAAGGGCACTACAGAGGAACCTAGATAGACTGGATCAATGGGCCAAGGCCAACTGCATGAGTTTCAATAGGGCCAAGTATCAAGTCCTGCATTTTGGGCAAAACAACCCCAGGCAGCCCTACAGGCTTGGGGAGGAGTGGCTGGAAAACTGCCTGACAGAAAGGGACCTTGGTGTACTGATGGACAGACAGCTGAATATGAGCCAGCAGTGTGCCCAGGTGGCCAAGAAGGCCAGTAGCATCCTGGCTTGTATCAGGAATGGAGTGGTGAGCAGGACTAGGGAAGTAATCCTGCCCCTGTACTCGACACTGGTGAGGCCTCATCTCTAGTACTGTGTTCAGTTTTGGGCACCTCAGTACAGAAAGGACTTGGAGGTGCCCAAGCAATTCCAAAGAAGGGCAAGAAGGCTTGTGAAGGGCTTGGAGAATATGCCCTTCGAGAAGCAACAGAAGGAACTGGAGCTGTTTAGTCTGGGGAACCAGAGGCTGAGGGGAGACAGTACTGCGCTCTTCCAATATCTGACATGTGCTTACAGTGAGAGTGGGGTTGGTTTCTTCTCACAGGTGACAGGACGAGGGGAAATGGCCTCAAGCTGCACCAGGGTAAGTTGAGGTTGGATATTAGGAAACACTTCTTTACAGAAAGGACTGTTTTGCACTAGAATAGGTTCCCCAGGAAGGCTTTAGAATCACTCTCCCTGAATGTGTTTAAAAACCGTTTGGATGTGGTGCTCAGGGCCATGATTCAGTGGAGGGTTGTTAGAATTAGGGTAGTTTGATTAGGTTGTGGTTAGACTCATTGACCTTAAAGGTCTTTTCCAAACTGACCAATTCTATGATTCTATGACCTGACTGGATTTACTTGGAATGAGAGAGAAAACATTGTGCAGGACATCTCTCCCACCTACACCTCCAGCCCTTTCTACAACAGTATAACTTATTTAATAGAAAGAAGCCACTCATTAATTTAACATATTCACCAAGCCTATTACTGATGAGAAGCTATGACATATATTCGTCACTGGCAGAAAAGTTGTCTAGGCTCTTCCACTGATAACACTCATCTGCAGATATTTGCTTTACTAAAGTACATTCAGTCTTGAGCAGTCTTGTCTTAATTTTCCCTGTATCTTCTAGCCAGAGTTTCACAACTTCTGAAAGCTCTACAGTGCAAGTACACCATTCTAGTAACATGCAAAGCCCTGAAAGCTGCTCTTCCTTAAACTATTAATTCTATGGGGAGGTGACTGAATACATCCAACATGGCTTCACAAAGAGTGAATCATGCCTGACTAACCACATGGCCTTATATGAGAGAATGACAGTACTGGTGTACAAGGGAAGAGCAATGGACATTGTCTAGCTTGACTTGTGTAAAGCTTTTGATACGGTCCCTCCAGAACATCCTAGTCTCTAAATTGGAGAGACACGGATTTGATGGATGGCCTGTTCAGTGGATAAGGAATTGGCTGGATGTCAGTGTCTGAAGGGTCATAGTCAGTTGCTCAATGTCCAGGTCTAGTGGTGACTCTCAAGTGGTGTCTGTATTGGGACTGATGTCTTTAGAACTTTATCCATGACGTGGACGGTGGGATCAAGTGCAAGTTAGTGGATAACAGCAAGCGGAGAGGTGCAGCTGACATTTCTAAAGAAAGGAATGCCATCCAGAATGATATTGACAGGCTTGAGGAGTGGGCTTGAATAATCCTCATAAAATTCAAGAAGACTATATAGAAGGTCCTGCACTTGGGTTGAGACAATCCCTCATACCAACACTGACTTGGTGATGAACTGATTAGGTGCAGTTCTGCAGGGAATGTCTTGGAGATACTGGTGGATGAAAAACTGGGAACAATTGGATATGAATGTGCAATATGTGCTTGCAGACCAGGATGACAATCATATTCTGCATCAAAAGAAATATGTTCAGGAGGCTGAGGGAGGTGATTCTCCCCAGTACTCTGCTGTCATGAGACCTCACCTGGAGTACTAGATCTGGGGTTCCCAGAACAAGAAAGACACAGACAGTCAGAGTAGATTCCAAAGAGGGTAATAAAGATGATCAGAGGGCTGGAGTACCTCTCCTATGAAGACTGACTGAGAGAGTTGTTGGCTTTTTTATTTTTTTAGCCTAGAGAAGAAAAGACTCCAGTAAGACATCACTGTGGCCTTCCAATACATAAACAGCCTACAAAAAAGATGAGGAGAGACTCTTTACCAGGGACTGTATTAATGGGGCATGGGGCATTGGTTTTAAACTAAAAGAGGATAGATTTATGTTGGATATAAGGAAGATTTTTTTTTTCCTATGGGATTGGTTAGATAACAGAAGGGAGAGAGAGGTAGTGGATGTCCCATTGCTAGAAATGTTCAGAGTTGGGTTGAGTGGGACTTTGAGCAATCTGATCTAGTGAAAGGTGCCAGGTGTCCCATGCCAGGGCAGGGAGGGGAACTCATTGATCCTTAAGCATCTGTTCCAGCTCAAGCCATTCTGTGATTCTAAGTTTACTATGGGAAAAATTTAATATGGAATTCCTCTCACAAAATTTTTATCTGAAGTATGTATTTTTGCTGGTTAAGCTGTCAGCAGTTAGATGAAAAGCAAAGGACTAAAGGCCATAAACAAAGATGGCAGATGACTGTTAACTGAAGAGAGGGTGTACTGAAAAGATCAGTATAGATGTTTAAACATATTTGATAGACTAATGAGTGACTTGAAGGAGAGAGAAAGTATCAGGGTAACTTAGTCTGCAGATAATACTAAAGGACAATTTAGTAAATTGAGTATGTATTGGAGTAGTTTGAATGGGACTAAAACAAACAAAAACTATGAGAATAAAATTCTAAGAATGATTTGAAATATAAATTAAAATGTCCTTAAAAAAAAATTCTAGCCAACAAAAAACATGAGACAGATGGTACATGAAAAGTGAACTATCAGAAAGGTAGTCATTGCTTGAAAGTTTTGAGGAGTTGTAGAACCATAGAATCATTGGTTTCAGTTGGAAGGGACCTTAAAGGTCATCTAGTCCAACCTCTCTGCAACAAACAAGGATATTTACAGCTAGACCAGGTTGCTCAGAGAGGGTCCCATCCAGCCTGATCATGCATGTCATAAAGGACAGGGCATCCACCACGTCTGGGCAACCTGCTCTAGTGCTTTACCATCCTCGTTGTAAAAAACTTTTTCCTTGTGTCCAGTCTAAATCTTCCCTCACTTAGTCTGAAATCATTTCCTCCTGTTCCATCACAACAAACACGAGAGTAGGTTCATTTATTTATTATTATCGCCCTCATTTAGATACTGAAAGAGTGCTATCAGGTCCTTCTTGGCAGGGCTGTGTTCCACCTTTTTGTCCCCTACCTTGTATTGATAGTTGGGGTATCTATGACACAGGTGCAAGACCTTGTACTTGGTTTTGTTGAACCTCATGAGGTTCTCCTGAGCCTACTGCTTGAGCCTATCTAGGTCTTTCTGGATAGCATTCCTTATGCATGCTGACCACAGAATGCAGCTTGGCGTCATCTGGAAACTTGCTGCAGGTGCAGCAGTGCCGCTGTCAACATAATTGAGGAAGTGTATGTGAACCGTTGATCTCAGCCTGAACCTCTGATTGATCACCTGAGGCAAGCAATGAGTCAGCCACAGGAGCACAGGTGAAGGCAATTCACTTGTGTTACCGGAAGAGGTGGAGCGTGGCTCCACCTCTCCCAGATCCCATATAAGTGCTGATTACCACTGAGGAAGGATCTCTTTTTGGAGATTGCTCCTTGTGGAGTTTACTGTAAGCCTAGAACACTGGTTAGCATATCAATTTATTTTTATTATCTTTCTATCACTATGATCTTACTAAGCCTAACTTTTGTACACCTATTGGTTGTACAGGAAGGTATTAATGAGCAACAGTTCCAGTACTGATCCCAGACGGACATCAATTAGCACTAATCTCTGTCTGGACATGGGGACTTCAACCATCATTCTCAATGCAAACAGTTCCCTATCCACTGAACAGTCCATCTGTCAAATTTTCAATTTGGAGAGAAAGATGTTATGAAGGACCGTATCAAAAGCTTTACGACCAGGTAAATGATATCAGTGGTTTTTCCCTTGTCTGCAGACACAGTTGCACCATCATGGAAAGCTATAGAGTATGATCCCAAATTGTACAGAACAGAACTAACTGCCATGCGTTGGATGTACAAATATCAAATGCCAGTGCCAGAATTGAATATGCGTGTCAGATGAAAGTCTCAGTTCTTCCCATT